AGGGCTCCCGGCCGGGAGGGAACAATAAGTTCTTCGAGGATTAGCGCTCAGTTTCCCTAAACCCCCACGGGGGTCAGCTGGAAACCCTCCAGCGTTTACCTGCAGAATCGTCAAGGCTGGAGCTCCCTCAGGAGTGAGGTCTGCCTGGGGACCTTCCGACACGGACGCTGTCACCCGCCTGCGGTCAGACCAGCCCAGCAACAGCCGTGGCAAAAAGAGAAAAGAAAAAAATAAAGCAAAGCATGGAGGAGCTCGGCCTTTGCGGAATCACCTGCGGCTGAGCCTCCCGCGGCGAGCGCGGGCCGACGCTTTCTGGCCACGCAGAATTGCATCGCGCCAGCTTCGACGCTCCTTGCTCGCTGCCTTCCTCTGGATCCGGATCTTCCGAGGGCGTTTCTGCACGCCCACGCCGTTGTGGCTGCGTTCCCCTACCTGACCTAGTTTCTACTTTCCACAGGGCTACTGAAAAGGTTCCGTAACAAGCAAAAGCATGAGGGGTGTTTTGAGGGCTTTGCTTTCATTTCACTCCTTAAACCAGGACTATTTTTTAATCTGCTCCCTCTGTAAACCCAGCTGCCTTAGTTACCATGAGCCCAACTCAGAGGGAGACGGAAAATCCTTTAAAAATTACCTAAAGCAGCTTTTTTAAAATACCTAAAAATACCGAGAGGTAAAAGCACAGCATCATGGGAATTTTAGGGCACGGGGAAAAGAAGTCCCGAGCGCGGCACCGGGACACTGCTGGCAGACACGCTCTCGTCCACCGCGCGGTCTGTCACGACGCACCGGCTCCTCCGCGCCCCACACGCTACCCCTGCCCATTCCGCGTGTCACTGCAACGCAGCTCCCCAAGGGAGGAAACTTTGGTGTGGCTGATTTAGGAAGCAGCGAGTGCTCCACAAACCCGTTCATGTCCCACGCTGTGGGTGTGCGGACAACACACGGATGAGCCCTCAGCTTCTCAGGACCAATGCCACCACCCTGGGAAGGGACAGCGTGCCGAAGGTGCTGCCCTGGGCCATCCTTCGCAAGTACCCTACTCACGACGCGCTACGGAAGGTAAAAGAGAAGGCGAGAGAGAAAGAGGAATTAAGATGAAGCAGAGAGAAAGAGAAGGGGCTGGGCTCTAGCCCGGAGGCGACGGCCACAGCAGGGCTGGGTAGGAAGCAGAGAGGAGAGCAACCGAAAGCATAAAGCTGGTGACAGCCAGAAAGAGTGGAGTTGGAGGCAGGGGGACAGAACAAAAAAAAAAAATATTCTAGGGCATCTGCCCTTTGGAAGGATGCAGGAGCCACCTCTTCAAAGTGGCAGCCAATGGCATTTCTTGACAACAAACTGGCCACGGGCATGTGCCACCACGCACGACACGTCTGTCCCTGCTGCGAGCCAGAAACGGTCCTCGCCCACCAATCCTTTCCCTTCCCTCTGCCAACACCAGCACGTCTCCCCCCCGCCACCCTCCGCTCCCTTGGTGGTTAATAGCTTCTCATCCGGGGCTGGCAGGGGGTGCTTGGAAAGATTGCAGGCAGGAAAATTATCCAGGAACAGGATTCCTCCTCAGCACGTTATTATAAGCTTGCTGGAAGCCAAACAATTAAGGCAATTGTTTCCCTGCTCTCATTTAGCTGTTTTGTATACACACAGACTTTCTGCTGGTCCACTGACCCCTGCTCGCCTCCACCACCACGCGGACGTCACGCAGCCGGGCTGCCGGCTCCGGCCAGCTGATCTCCGGCGAGCCCAGCTCTTATCTGCTCCCTGTAAAACACATTCTCATTAACCAGAATTAAACCAGCGTTAATCTAGAATCATGACTGACGGCCGTATTAAAACATTAAGTGTTCCTAGCCAGGAGCAGCAGTGCCTCTGGATCGGGGGGATACTCTGGCATCCCACCAGGGCTCACAGCTCAGGGCTACAGCTCCAGCTGTAAAATGGGAGAGTTTTTGCAACCAGGTGAAGAAAAATGAAGTTATTCAAGGCGAAACGCGGTTTGAGAGTTGTGCTCCCTACTCTGCCTCGCCACAGATGGGTCACTGCGCCGCTCGACACACACAGAAACCTCCCCCCACCCTGGGAAGTCACCGAGTGGGTGACAGGACGGGTTCCCCGTGACGAGGGACAGGGGAGATTTGCAGCGAAAATCCTTTGTCGCACCCCCAGCGCAGGGAGAGGCGCTGGGGAGAGGAGGGCTCCGAGCGGGGACTCCCTGCCTCGGGGCGACCGCGGAGCAGAGTCGCTTCACCTCTCTGCTCCCAGCCTCGGAACGGCCGAGGGTTAATCAGCTAATTGTTCGTAAGGCGGTTTGAGACCTTCGCGTTGAAGGGGAGATATCAAGGGCAATTATTTTAGTCATCTGCGCGGATCAGGAAAGGTATTTGATAACGTAATACAACGGTGGCAAACAGAGCTTTTATGTTATCCCGAGGGCTCTCGCTGTCCATTTGGTGCCAACGTTTGCTCAGCGGGAGGCTTACAAGGCTATTTTATCCATAAAGAGCCAACCACCCCCTCGGAGAAATGCTTCTGAGTCACAGCCACCAGGCAGGCAGCTCCCAACCCCGCACATAAAACCCGCAGCCAAACGTCCTCCCCCCGGGGAGCGGGGAGTTGGAGTGTTACGGGGAGCAGCTGCTCTGGAGAGGGAAGGTTTACAAGTGTGGGGGGTTAAGTACGACTAACAGGAGTCAAGGGATGGTAGCGTCAGGTCAGCGAGCGGGTGCTTGAACAGGAGGCCTCGGAGGGGAGAGGCAGTGCTACAGGGAGATAAACGCTTGCTTGATTTATTTTAAAAATTAATTTGATGGCCCCGTGCTGCCTTGAGACAAACGAGCACCTGCCCCTTCGGCTCCAGCACCGCCAACCTTTCTGCGCGCCCGCTCTCCTCCCAGCCACCGGGGTCTGGCTTCCCCTTCAGGCAGAGAGGAAGAGGATTTTAAACTTGAAAGATTTCTACCCCAGAGGGCTAACAGAGGGGGAAGGGGGGTTCAAAGCTACAGATGAGTTCACAGCCACTAGAGCAGCTCTGCATTTGCTCCCTGCTCACAGCGGGTCTGAAATCCCCCTTAGCTACGATCCTCCCCCCTCCCCTCCAATCCCTACCCCTCCCCAAACCAAAATGAATAGGAAATGAAGTGTGGCTCCGTGGAGACAATGGTTTATTGTAAAGTTTTTGCTGCGACGCACGGTATAAAAACCTGCCAAGACACATGTAAACATTCGCAACCGCCAGGCTCCTCCATAATGAAAAGCTATAAAGAACACCCAGGTGGGAAGCACAATACTACCAGCTAATTAAAGTAACCAATAATATTCCTCCCAGGAATGCAAGAGTGTGTTCCGCCCAGCGCCGGGCAATCTGGAGGCCAGAGCCAGCCCTGCCACCGACTCCTGACCTCAGACAAGTCCTTCTCCCCACCGGTCGGTCTCCGTCTGTCCGACAGGGAGCAGTTCGTCAGCGCACAGTGAGCTGCGTTTGCAATCGGACCTCGCGCTTCGGCGGTTTCGGGTTTTTGCCACGTACGGGGGCCATGGCGCGACCTGGGAAGCCTGCTCCTTCCATAAGCCCCGGCTTCATTAAGCTGCAGCCACGCAATCCTACCCAGGGAAGGCCACGGCCATAAACATTGACAAGGCATATATTCCTCCTGAAAAATGGGAGCTCCTAGTGACAGGGTTAATGATGTTTGAGCAGCCTCTCACCCTGAGCTCCACATATCCCAGCCTTAATGTGCTGGCCTCCTTCCTCCACCCCCAAAGGGACAGGAGAGGGAAGGGGGGGGGAACAGCGACCTCCAATGCCAGATATTTTCTACATCAGTGAATTCCCAGGGCCAGCGGAATAAAGCAGAACACTCATACATGGAGAAACAGGCAGCAAAAAAGGTCAAATCCACACACACACACACACCCCCGCCCCGAGGAGGAGAGGGGCTTGTTTCGCAGGGATGGAGAGAAGATGAACCTCCGCTGGCTCTTACCCTTTCCCGCATCGACAGGAGAGGTCTCCATGCCAACATTATCAATCCGTTATAGCCAGACAATTCTCTTTCACTCGCCACTATTTCTGAGCCGTGCTGCAGCTCGGCGTTCCTTAGCACCCAGCAGAAAAGGCTGTTTCTGTGCGGGAAGCGCGCAGGGCGCCGTATCGACCTCGGCATCTCATTATCCTTCCTTCCGCTTTCCCCAAACACGCTAAATCCACCTCCTCCCCGCTCTGCTACAGAACACATTTCGGCAAGGGATTATCGCGCCGGTGAGCACACCGTCCTCCGGCACACGTTCACCTCCACGCAGGCCCCGTGGCCCCCCCAGCACCATCCTGCGCCCTTCGGCAAAGCCCACCCTCCCAGCTGGAGACAGCGCTGGGCTCCGTCTCCCGCCCCACCGATGGACCGGATGCGAAGGCTGAGCGAAATCAGCTGCTAGGAACGAGGGCCAGAAGCGGGGTTACGCTCGGAAGCTTGGGTGTGTTTCTCCCCCGGAGAAAATAAAATAGCTTTAAGACCAAATTCATCCCCCCCTACAAAGCTCATCTCATTTGTACTTCAAAGAGTTATTTCCTACCAGGCGGCTCTGGACGCCTGCTCTTCAGAGAGCTCATTACCTCCCTCTTTACAGACTTGGCTCCCACCCCAGTCAGAAATGGGCGCTTACGCAGCGCCAGTCGAACGCCCGCAAACAAACCCGTTACACAGCCCACTAAAGGCGCCCCTTCCCAGCTTAAACCTGGGTGAACAACCTCAGAATTCAACACCTCCGTTCAGCAGCCGTAACTCTCTCGAAACCACACCGAGAGTCACACACAGAGAAACAAACAGAAGGGAAGATGAAGGGGACAGCGCTGACAAGGCTCCCCCGGGGCCCGTGCCGCTGCATTCGTAACAAGATGTGAAAGCCCAAGCAGCACGAAGGCTTTGAACGGTCACGGGGTGCTACCAGCTGGAGCACCGGGCCAATCTGGAGGTGCAAAGAGCATCCTGGAGGCCAAGGCACCTTACCTTCTTGGAGAGCGAGGAGACATTCAACCCAAATCTTTGAGCCCTTTCCTTTAATTTATCCATGTTTACCTATAAAGACATAGGAAACAATTTACATTTCTTTTAAATCACTGTCACTCGAGTTGCAGGGGTAGAGATAAGGCCACCTCTGGGAAAAGCCTCCTGGAACAGACCTGTGCCCAGCGATCAGCCCCAGGGAAAAACCCCCCAGGCACTGTGCTGCCACCCAGCAGCAGCTCCGGCTCGCACCCAGGGCCGCGGGACAGAACCAGCACCCCAAAGGAAGCAGCCAGGAACTGCCAGCCTGCCCCTTCGCCTCCTCAAACCAACCGAAGGATCAGCACCCAGGTGCCGCTCCCCCTCCCGAAGGAGCGACCGCTCCTTTCGTTTCACACCATTACTGCTCAGCCAGCTGCACCCAGTACCTTTCCAGCAGCACAAACAGAAAATCAACAGCTTTGGAGGCAAACTTGCCAGTTCTCCTAACAGCTACTGCCGCTGCGATCTGGCTGCCATGGGTTTAAGCAGCCATCGCTGCACCCTCACCCTTCCGCACCCTCACCCTTCCGAAACCATCACGTCACATCTGAGCAGGCCCCCGGGCCAAGCAGCTCCCCAGCACATCACCCAGCCTGCCTGGTTACCCAGAGAGGCGCCAGCCATCGTCACAGCGCTTATCCCTAACGAGCCCCGACCTTCAGGGATGAGCCTTCCACCGCACATAGCTCTGCAGAGCAAGCTCTGCTGCTATTCTGCCTCACGGATGGCTCACGCAAGACCTTTCGTGCCCCTGGCACCAGAAAAGCCTTGGACCTCGCCTGGCGATGGGCCTTGGCTCAGCTTAACTCTGCTCCGCTCGTCCTCAATCGAGCGTGCACACACCGAGCCGGCCGCCCAGCGTGACGGAGCGCTCAGCCCCACACACTTCGGTGCCTCCTACTTCGACCTGGAAGTCAGAGAGGCAAAGCAGCACCGGCCCCTCAAGGCAGAGTGATTTACCCCAGGTGATTCGTCATCTCCACTCCTGAAGCACAATTCAAGCAGTTCAAAGAAAAAGTGAGAATGAAAACAGGGCATATGAAGAGAAAAAAAAAAAAAAAAAAATCTATCTATCTATCTCCACCTTTGTTCCTTTCAGCATTTCATTCTAAAGTCAGCCTGTGGGAAAACTGCCAGAAGAGGCAGCCGGGTACGGGAGCCCACCCAGCTCAGCGCAGGCTGGGCATCGGGGCGGGCTACGCCGTTCGCTCTCACCCCACAGAGGTTGCTCCTGAACCATTTTGGTAGCTCCTGCAAACAGGAACCACTTCCTACAAACCACGGCGCGTGTTCAGGGCCTGACCAGTAAGTCAAGAACAAGAAGCGTTTCTTACCGTGGGTTTGCTGTCTGCAGAGAGGCCTGAAACGAGGAAGCAAGAAAAAGAAATCCCAGTTAGAGAACAAACATCAGGAGCAGCACCCTACCTAAAAGGGGGCGCAGCAAAGCCACAGCCTTGCCCCTGTCCCAGCACGGTGAGGAGCTGCCTGCCCCGTTTTTCCCAGCTTCTCTCTCTGCTCACTACAGAATGAGTCTCCCAATTTCTTTTCCACCTTCAAATCAGCTTCTCCACCCGCAAAGCTGCCGCCATCCCACCTTGCCAAGGCAGCTGTGGCCACTGAACCCGACATTTTATGAAGCCAAACGACGTTGGGCGTTCTGTTCAAGGACACCACCAAAAAGGCCAGCTTGTGTTTCCAGTCGTGCTTAGGAAACAGATGCTGGGGAAAACATCTGAGCTACCGAGGGAACAACACGTGGCCCTTTCTTCCCAATTCTACAGTTCCCACCCAGAGCTCCTGAGCGCCATCAGGAAAAGGGACAGAAGTGAAAACAAAGGTGGTCCCACCGGCAGGGTTGTTTCAGGTTTTTTTTTTCCCTAGGAATAATTAAATATTTGCAGTAAAGTCACTCCAGGAATTGGTTCTGCTTCACCTCCTCACCTTTAGTCGAAACTGTGGCCAAACCAAACCTGCCGAAGGCAAACAGAGCTTGGTCAGAGACTCGGGGGAAGATAAGGGCAGCCAGTACCCGACATGTCGAGTCCCAGGCACGAGATTTCCCTTCAAATACTTCTCATGAGCGTACTTGAGCAGAACTGGTTTGGGGGCAAGATCAACCAGAACACACCAAATACGATTGCTGTGGCAGCTCCCGCACTTACTCTGCGGACAGCGAGTCCCCGCTGCCTTCACCAAACCAACGCAGTGCCCAGGCTGCGAGCTGGGTCACCAGCAGCTCACCACTTTCCCCTTTCCTTGCCAGAATAACTGAGAACTGCCGGAAATTCCACTGGTATTTTAGCCCAAGCAACCAGTAAAGCACTCATCAAGCGCTCCGCAATCAGACACAGCCCAAATCAGTCCTGGGGGTCTCCTGCCTCACGAGGAGCCCCCTCTCCCTGCAGGTGTAACACAAACCTGCCAGCAAGCCCTTGGCTCAGGCTGCGGGCAACCTCCGCCTCGTTTTTCAGGCTCCTCCCCAGCGCTGATGTCCCACCACCCCAGCGCAGCACAGAGCCACGTTCACCTCCCACCGGCAGGCACGTCCGGAGCAGCCTTCTCCCAGGCAAGAAGAGGGGAGAAGGCTCCAGGCATAGACTCACCGAGCTGCCCGCGCTGCCTTCTTGCTCTCCAGGCTCACGGGGACGTTGAAGCGTTCAGCCCTCTTCTGCATTCGCTGGAGGAAGGGAGAGAAAGGAACCAAATGAGGAAGAGCGAAGATTTGAAGGGTACGGAAAGGGGGTTCTGCAGATGGAGAGAGGCAAACTCAGCACCAGCGTGCCCTGCTGGACCAGCAGCGCGCAGTCCGGAAAGGGGAAAACCACCCCCCTGCACCCATGGGTAAAGGGAGAGCTGCTGCTGCAGGCACCTTCCGTGGGCTCCTGCCATCCAAGAAGCCACCCCGCAGCCTCCAGGAGGAATGCTTGACCCAAAGGCGCTCTCATGTTCTGATAAACACAGGCCAAATTAAAAGAAAAAAAACCAAACCAAAACCAAACCAACCAATAAAACCCAGTGTGCCATTAGTGCGCCACTCCCAGAGCGTTCCCAGGGAAGATGTGCCAAACGAGAATGGCACCGGGGAGCTGACAGAGACGGGTGACTGTTTTAAGATGCCACAAGGCTGCGACTCGCACTGGAGGCTGGGACGCGGGCACGCAGGCCGAAGCGTGGCACACCTCGCCCGGGGAAGCCCTCGTGCCAGAGGGAACGGAGCAGTGCTCCTGGCAGGGACTACAAAGGCAGCGGCCCTGACTTCCCTCCTGGAGGCAGGAAGCAAGCGGTAGGCACAACCGGCTCTGGCTGATTTGGAAGGAGAGAGGCAAACAACATTTCCTTTTCTTTCCCGCTAAGCAAAAAGCCAAGTACGCAAGAAAAGGGGATGGGGGGTGGGGGTGGTGTTTGTTTTCAGGGAACTTATTTATCTGGCGCAAGCCTTTTCATGAGAGACGGCACCATTCATGCAGCTGGCGCAGCCTCGCAAGCGGAGTTTGCCATGAGCGGCGTGATTCGAGACGAAATTCAGCTGCGTAGAAAGGACTCGGCCCGCTGCCCTTGCCGCGGGCACGGCTCGCCTGGCGTAGAGCAACGCCGCCCTGCGCACGGAAAAGCTGGGAAACATCGGGCGTGCAAGGGTTCGCGCCTACGAGTATTAAATCCCCTTAGAAGCTTAAGGGAAATATTTAACATTTTTTTATTACACAAGGGCCCAGAAATGTGCTTGGTGCTTTAAAGGTTAGAGAAACAGAGATTGTTTTAATGGAAACATTTACTTTAGCCGAAAGCACAGCGAGGAGCACAATCAACACGTGCATCAAAACATAAACGTTTAGGAAAGCCCGATGAGGAACGGCCTCAGCGCCGAGGAGCCTGTGCTCAGCTGAGTAGAAGCAATAAAGGCGCCACCGCAGTCCAAGCACGTTTCCTTACTCTTCCTGACACTTTGCGGAACAGCCAAGAGGAACAGCTCAAGGGGCAGCTTCCAGAAGGACCCGCGGCTGCGGACAAGCCGTGCCAAATCGGAGCCAAGGCCCCACCAGCCCCAAGTGCCCCCGAAAGGGCCGGGTACGCTCGGGGGAGGGGGTCTGCCCCCCTCTGCACAAAGGGCTGACTGCGCTTCAGGCTGCGCTCACATTTGCATTCGTTTATCCCCGGTGGTCGCCCTTCCTGGGAATTGGTCTCCTTGCTTTTTGAATTCCTCTGTTTCTAGCACCCTCAACAGCCCACGGCAACAGCCCCCCAGCGTTCCATTACGCAGCGTACAGGAAAATAAGCCCCTTTTATCTTCAAAAACCATCTACGGCAATTTTGCCAAGACTTGATTCAACCTCAATCAAAAAAAAAAAAAAAGCGGATTCCCTGCTAACAGGTTCGGCAGAATTTGGAGAAAAACAAAGGGCAAGAGCGTAACGTCAGCAAGGTCGCTTAACGAGCAACTGAACCAGCTTCAGCCGAGGGCAGCCCCACGTGGCGGGGGACGTCGCTCCTTCAGCCACACTGCCAGCCCACATCAGGGACCGCGTTTCTCCTCGTTACTCCTTCGCTGAGGTCATAATCCTCCGCTTGCGACATCACCTTGGTTGCTGTGGCAATGATCGTGTCCCAAACAGAAGATTAAAACTCTAAAGTGAGGGCGAACAGCAGGGAGACAAGAATCGGGTTCTCATAGCGACGTCGTTCTTATGGAACACGAGGAAAAAAATACAGGGGAGGAGCAGAGAACCACACTCACGGACTCCTGAGCCTCAAGGCTCCGCAAAACCTCCCCAGAGGAGCGGGCAGCTTCCAAGCGTGTTCGTTTTAAACGAGCCCAGCAAATGGAAGCGCCCGAGTTGAGAGAAGATAAAGACAAGATGATGGGTCAAGCTCGCAGCAGCTCCCCCCCAGCCGCGCACGCGTCACAGCGTATGCGCAACAACACTCTGGAGCAATCGGGCTCGCAGCAAGGCCCGCGGGGCGGGGACATGCCGCGGCCTGGTGAACCCCGCAGCAGAACTTCTCACGTTCGTAATAGCAGGAAAACACAATTTATACGGCAGGGTGGTAACAGAGGCGGCTCAAGTCTATCGGCCTTTATCATCCAGAGCCGAGGACGCTAGGGGGCAAAGGCCACCTCTGTCTGCAACGGAACGACACCCCCGGACCGCCTCAGCTTGTCGCTGCTAAGTGGGGAATATTGAGGCAGGGTCAGTGGTGGTTAGTGGCAGAAAGCAGCCGGGGAAGGGGCATTAGCAGCCAATCGAGGGGAGCATTCCTTGCGACCTCGGCCTCAAAGCGAAAGGTGTTGTGGGGTCACCACCCCGCCAGCTCGCTCCACAGCCAGCGACCGGTCATTAATATAAAAATCGAGGGAAAATAAAGCAGGTTTACAAGGGGAGCGCTGGCACAACCCCAGCAGCGCACAAAGGAGATGCGGAATGAAGCGAACGAGGAAACCGGCGCTGCAGAAGGAACCTTACCTCCATCTGCGAGATCTCCGACGTGATTTTCACCACCTTCTTTTCCGTAATCCTAGAGGTGTTGGGAAAAGGGAGAAATGGGTCAGAACAGCCCCCACTGGTGTCACAGGCCTGCCCCAGGGCCTCCTCCCAGCCCCCCCTCTCTGGCAAGAGCACCCCCATCCCAGCCGAGGGCCTGTTTTTGGAAGGAGAGCAGCCACAAGCCAGCATCCCCCTAGCGAGGGCAAGTTTTGAGCCAGACATTGATGCCAAAGTGAAGTACGAAGCCCGTGAAATTTAGAGCTGCAGTCTAGGGCGTATCAGGGGCAGGAAGCACACTGCCCAGCCATGGGCTCTCCCGGGAGCCTAACCAGCGCCTTGAGTACTCCCAAATTCTTTTGGCAAGGATGGAAACAAGCTGGAAAAGACAGGAGAACCAGCCCCACTCTCGCCCGTTCTCTACACTTGGAGGAGCCATTATCTCCTTAAGAGAAATGTTCTGCGATTTCAGTGGGGCGTCGCAGATGCATCTCGATGCCGGGCGGGTATCACAGCCAGAGGCTGCAAACCTGCACACCGAGGATAAGCCCCTGTCCATCTTAAGGCTCTTAACAGTAACGTTCAGCTCTTGTTAGAAGCCCAAAGCCTCGACTGTGAGCCCCCGAGAGCTTTATTCCTTTATGGCCCTCAAATACAAAGGATTGCTCTGTTCTAGTTCATGGGACAGCCCCAGGCAGCTTTCCCCGGGCAGCACTGGCACCCTGAGCCCCGGCTCCATTTCAAACACACACTTCCTGAACAATGTGCGGCCGACAACAGCGGGACCAGTAAAAAGACCGAACGAAAATATAATGGAGTGGGCGTGCTCCAAAGTTTATGCTCCGAAAACAGAGCTCAGGCTCGAGGGGGAAAACAAAAGAGGAAGAGACAAAGTTCGGAAGTTCCCAGGCTAAATGAAATAGCATCCTCCTCCTCCAAACAACTCCCATAAAACAGTGGGTCACAGCCAGCCTCATTAAGGCCTCCCATTTAGAAAAACGCGCTGCTTTTGTTCCAGACTCCCGGACAGGTTTCTCATTTTATGCCCTGAAAGGTAGTAATGGTTTAATGGCACTTTCACAGGAAGCAATTCTGCCTGGGACCTGGGACCTGGCGCTCCCGGCACAGCTCAGCAGGCACAGGACGCCCCCTCCTGCCCATGCACCCAGGGCTCGCTTCGGGCTCGCCTGGTCCTTCCAGCAGCCACGCAGACAGACAGACCGACCACCGTGTTCGCAGAGGGGGCTGAGGCAAGGGGCATAATCCTGCTCCAGCGTGTGCTGCGCCCTCCTGGCAGCCCAAACTCCAGAACGGGGCCATAGGAAGCGTCTCACCACCCCCTCCCCACACCCCGAGGGTTTGCTTTGGTCTACTCAGAAAGGATAGTTACACGTCCGGCGATTTTACAGGAGGCTCTTCCACTTTGACGGGCGGCTCTGCTGGGCTCTGCTCTTCCTCCTGCAAGTCAAGGAGTTGAGAGGAGGTCAGGTAACAAAAAATGCTGGCCAGCTGAGCAAAAGAGAGATGCCGTGGCAGGGACGCTGGCAAGACTTTTGGGCTCTGGCTGGTTTAAAAGGAACACACCTATAATTCAGCCCACGCGTACCCAGAGATTTGTGCGTTATGGCTCTTGCTCGGCCCACAAAGGCGAGCACACAGCGGTACCATGGGCTGACAGCCTCGGCCTGGCTGGGTTTGAGCACTGCTGGTTTGATCTGGTACCGACACAGACTCTGGATTTATCCAAAGTCTGCTCCCTTGGCAGAAAGCCTGGGCTTCGCAAGGCTTAGGAAATACCTGGAGCGAGATGGTCCCCAGCCCGCAAAGCGGAGCCAGCGAGGAACATGGGGGCTATGCAGCGCCCCCGCTCGATGCCCAGCATCAGTCTGGTAAGACCCAGCCACTTCTCACCAGCTACTTTTGGTGAAACGGGGGAGAAATCCTCCCTCTCCTCCAGCCGTCCCTGCAGGGCACGCGCCTGCCGAGCAGCGGAGCCTGACAAGGGGAAGAATCGCTTCCCACCAGTGCTTCCCCAGGTCGGGTCGCCTCTCCCCCCTTGGAACAAACTCCCCTGCTTTAGGGCTCGCTCCCGGAGCCCAGCCCGCCAGCGGGGCACCGGCTGGGCGGCTTTGTCTTATGTGTTCGTTCTTAAACGCACCCCACGCTCCAGCCACGTCTGCTGTTCAGCTCACGACAAAAACCACAGGGTGATGTGGTGGGAATCCAGCTGAGTGCGGGTGGAACAGCCCCATGCCGAGACTGCACGCCCTCCCCGAGGCCTCCCCCACGCGCTCTGCAGGCTAATGCAGCACCACAGAGCCTTTGCCACAAAGAAGAGTGGGTTTGGACCCAGCAAGGAACAAAACCAACGCTTTAAAATAGACATGGCCCCAGGTATTGCCTCGCTCCTGATTCGCGGAATGATGACGCAGCCAGCGGGAGGCTGCACGCTGCCGGGCAAACCCGAAGCCCCCACCCAGGATGGCTGCCCCAGAGGAGACTCACCTCTATTTCTTCTGCCAGGACATCTTCTTCGTTTGCTTCTTCTTCAGCTGGAGGACAAAACAACAGAGCAATCGCAGTAGCACGTTACTCCGGTGACATCTCTGGCTTCTCAGGCAAAGTTTACGAGGAGGATTTTACTCGGGGAAGCGGGGAGCAAAGGCAGTTGCAGCAAAGTGCTCAGACCCGGGCTCCTCGCTTCCACCCGAGTCCCACGCGAACAGAGGTCGAGGCCCAGGAGAATCCCTCACCACCAGGAGCCCCGATAGCCTTGGGAAGGAGCCGGCCGAGGCCCCCGCCGGCGCGCGGCACCCACCGTGCTCCTCCAGGTAAGCCTGAAGCCTGTTGATCAGATCCTGCTTGTTGCCTTTTGCTTCCAGGCCGCGGGCCAGGCACTCCTGCTTCAGCTCGGCCAACTGCATAAAGAGGGAACTTCCCGTTAGCGCGTGCAGG